GCCCTCAAGTTGCTACTGACTCATAGCAACTCCTTGTAGGGTGTCCAAGGTGAGAGCTGAGCAAAGGTGGTTTGCCATTGCCTGTCTCTCTCTAACAGGCTTGGATTTCCTTGGTGGTTTCCCATCCAAACCAGGGCTTGCTCACTCCCTAGGCGAACTAGGCGATCGCCTAGAGCGGGCTGGCCCTTAGGGGCCCCAAACTGCACCTGGCCCCGTACTCTGGGAGCTTCTTGATTATTTGTGTTTTTCATTCTTCCTAAAATGCATTTGGGGGGGGGGGGCATAAGGGATCCTCGCCTAGGGTGCAAAATAAGCTGGAGCCGGCCCTGATCCAAACACTAACCAAAGCTGACCTTGCTTAGCTTCTGAGACCTGACAAGATTGGGTTACCTTGGAATAGCCAGGTTGCTTTGTGGTTAAAAGGAACAGCAGAAAGAAGCAACAATAAAAAGTAGATAGGGGAAGGAAAACTGGAAAAAAGGTGCACAGCATCAGGAATTTAAGAAGAAAAGTTGGATTTATGCCCCGCCCTTCACTTGGAGTCTCAGAGCGGTTTACAATCTCCTTTACCTTCCTCTCCCCACAACAGACACCCTGTGAGGTAGGTGGGGCTGAGAGAGGTCTGAGGGAACGGCTCATGAGAGAACAGCTCTGAGAAAAGTTGTGACTGACCCAAGGTCACCCAACTGGCTGCATGTGGAGGGGTGGGGAATCAAACCCGGTTCTCTCAGATTAGAGCCCGTTGCACTTAACCACTACACCAAACTTCCCGAGACTACTGATTTGAGATGTTGATTTGAAATAAGCATATATGTTTTTGGACATTGTTCTGTAGTTGTTAACATATTGCCGTCTTATACCGAGTAAGATCGTTGTTCCAAAAAGCTGGATATTGTGTACTCTGATTGGGTTCTAGGTCCAGGTCTATCCTGTGACCTATCATCTGATCCTTTTCCCGTTCTCCACAATGGCATACATTGATCTTCCATTTTATCCTCATAAGAACCCTGTGAGGGAGGTTAGGTTGAGAGTACCTAGCCCAAGGTCACCCAGCAAGTTTCCATGCCAGATCATGGATTCGGGTCTCCCAGATCCTAGCCTGTAACCACACTAGCTCACACTTTTGAACTGTGTGTGGCACCTCTAAGACCAAACAAGTTTAATTCTGTGTATAAGCTTCCCTCTGCACGTGTGCACTTCTTCTGATCCATTGAAACAAGACTTTCTCAACCTTTACGTATAGGTGTGGGGGGTTAGTTGCCAGGAAGGGCTAATTAGAGTCAAGATGCATAAGTTACTGAGTGATAAGTATAGCTAAGGTTGGACGAAAGCAGTTGTTAAGACCTGTGAATAGCAGCAAATTAGCATACAAAAAAGTTAACAAACAGATGTGAGAGCTTAGTTTGAGTCCAGTGGCAAACTCTAATTTAGTTCCCACTTCTGTTTGTGAACTCTTTCATTACCTGTATACTAATTTGCTTCTGTTCACAGTTTTTGCCAGCTGCTTTAATCCAGAATTAAACTTGGTTGGTCTTGAAGGTGCTTTTGTTGTTGTTCAGTCGCACAGTCAAGTCCGACTCTTCGTGACCCCACGGACCAGATCACGCCAGGCCTTCCTGCCTTCCGCCATCCTCTGAAGTTGGCTCAATTCCATGTTCATTGCATCGATGACACTGTCTAACCATCTCGTCCTTTGCCGTTCCCGTCTTCTTTGACCTTCAATCTTTCCCAGCATCAGGGTCTTTTCCAGTGAGTGCTACCTTCTCATTTGGTGGCCAAAGTATTGGAGCTTCAGTTTCATTATCTGGCCTTCCAGGGAACAGTCAGGGTTGATTTCTTTTAGGATTGACTGATTTGATCTTCTTGCAGTCCAAGGGACTCTCAAGAGTCTTCTCCAGCACCATAGTTCAAAAGAATCTATTCTTCGGTGCTCGGCCTTCCTTATAGTCCAACTCTCGCAGCCATACATGACTACTGGGAATACCATTGCTTTGACCATGCGGACTTTTGTTGGCAGGGTGATGTCTCTACTTTTTATCATGCTGTTTAGGTTCGCCATCGCTTTCCTCCCAAGGAGCAGGCGTCTTTTAATTTCATGTCTGCTGTCACAGTCTGCGGTGATCTGGGATCCCAGGAACGTGAAGTCTGTCACTGCTTCCACGACTTCCCCTTCTATTTGCCAAGGAGTGATGGGTCCGGATGCCATGATCTTAGTTTTTTTGATGTTAAGCTTCAAACCCACTTTTGCGCTCTCCTCTTTTACCCTGAGCAAGAGACTCTTAAGGTCCTCTTCACTTTCTGCCATTAGAGTGGTATCGTCTGCATATCTGAGGTTGTTGATCTTTTCCCCAGCAATCTTAATTCCCGCTTGTGATTCATCCAGGCCAGCATTTCGCATGATGTACTCTGCATATATATTAAATAAGCAAGGCGACAATATACATCCTTGTCGTACTCCTTTTCCTATGCTAAACCAATCAGTTGTTCCATATCCGGTTCTAACTGTCGCTTCTTGGCCCTTATACAGGTTTCTCAAGAGACATGTGAGGTGGTCTGGTACTCCCATCTCTGAGGCTCCTTAGGCTCCCTCGCCACTCGGCCCCCCCTCGCCGCTCGCCGCTCCCCTTTCAAGCAGCTGTGGCGGCAGCCTCGGTTGCCAAGCGTTCCGTGCACAAACCTCCCCCTCTCCCCTAAGTGCCCCCGGAGCGCTGATTTAGCGATCCGCACTCACGGGGGCAACTTGGCTATTAGATATATAGATCGTCTGCATATCTGAGGTTGTTGATCTTTTCTCCAGCAATCTTAATTCCCGCTTGTGATTCATCCAGGCCAGCATTTTGCATGATGTACTCTGCATATGTATTAAATAAGCAAGGTGACAATATACATCCTTGTCGTACTCCTTTTCCTATGCTAAACCAATCAGTTGTTCCATATCCGGTGGGGTGGTTTGGTACTCCCATCTTGAAGGTGCTTCTGGACTCAGACTTTGTTCTGTTGCTTCAGACTAGCACAACTACCCACCTGAATCTACCTTCAAAGTGGAGATGTTAAACTTTCTTCAGAAGAGCAAAAGCTCACCTGATGAGCCAGGGCCCCTTCCCCTTAAATGTCTATGTTGCCCTCAGAGTGGTTTCCTCAGCCCTTCTAGGCCGTTTCCTCTCTTAGCACTAGCCAGCCTTTCACAATTTAAACAGAATTGCGTGCCTCAAGCAGGTTGCATAATCCAGAGCCACACAGTTTGTGACATGACCTGAGTGAAATGCGGCCTACCAGTCAGGCCTATGATACATTTCTGAAGGGCTATGTTCAGTTTGGTAGGACTTGTGTTGTTCAGGCCTGGTCTAATCTCGTGGCTTTGACAATCATCAACCCTATGTTTGGGTTTTGCTCAAACTGAGGGTCCAATTGATCTTCCCCCAAGGTGAAAAACAGGTGGTTCCTGAACGTTGGCTTTATTTTGTTCTCCCCAAGCTACCCCACAGGCAGTCATAAGCTACATCTGGATTTTGTGCTCTTTGTTCTGAGTTGCATGACCTCAGCTCTGAAATACTGCAGGAAGAATCCTTGCAAGGGAGCAGAAGACAGAGATCCCAACCTTATCTCCATCCTGTACCCTTATTGTAGCAAAAGTTGCTAACAGGAGCCATGACAACTCCATTTTAGGAAACTCCTGGAAACTTGGAGGTGGAGCTTGGGGCGGGGAGGGAACTCAGCAGGGGAGAACTCCACACAACTGTTTTCTGGGGATCAGTTGTAATTCTGGGAGATCTTTTTGCTCAAACTGAGGGTCTAATTGATCTTCCCCAAGGTGAAAAGGTTGGCAACTGTAATTTGCAGCTGACCCTCAAAGGGATGGAGAGTCTCCCCTGGCCCCAGCTCCTGTGCAAAATAACTAAATTATAGACTCTGCTTTTTCTTCACTTGAATCACAAGAGTTCTCGAGTTGGAAGGGGCCAGATATCAACCCTCTCCTCAGTACAGGAAATCTAAAGCTAGAGCCTCTGTATTCCACTTGCTGTGAACAAAGGAAGCAAGGCCGGCTCTTTGTCATGAGGTGTATGTGTGTGTGTGTAAAACGCTGGACCGCCCTACCCTAGGACTCTTGATGTCGACTTTCCGGCATCAAAACTCTTCTGATTCAGGTTTTTCTCCCCCCTGCATGAAACGTTACCATTGGTTTTCTACTTAAATCTACAGGTCTTTTTTTATGTAGCACTGCTGACTGGGTCGTGTGTGGGTTTCTGATTTTGGCCTTCTTAGATGTTATCATTTCAGACAGGCTGCATTGGGATGTCAAAACAAACAAACAGTCTTTGGTTCCTTCATGACAGGAACAAGCCCGCTTTATTCTTGGGCTCCCACGCTCCCTCTATCCTCCCCTCACACAGAGTTTCTTTCAAACTGGGAAGTTTTCAGTATGGACTCCACACACGAGGGAAAGAGGGAGGGAGAATATTAGCCTGAGGGTAAACCTGGCCTGTTGCCCTCATGAAGAAACCCAAGATAGATCTTTTGTGATACAAAATACAGAAGATTTTGGCCATTGAAAATGCCACGAAGACCTAATCCTGATCAGTCTCGCAGTATGAGGGGGCCAGGAGACCTTGCCCCCCGGCCTTTTCATGTGCTGAAATGGACTGTTTTGGTATTCAGGGGGGAGGGGGGGCAAAGTCTCCTGGTCTCCACCATGCTTACAGCATTTTTTAATTTAAGAAGGATACAGACAAGCTGGAACGTGTCCAGAGGAGGGCAACGAAGATGGCGAGGGGTCTAGAGAAGCAATTTTCCCCCAGGCCAGTGTGGCTGGAGATCCTGGAGGGTTTTTGTCATCTTCTGGGCATGGAACAGCGGTCACTCTCTAAAACGACATCGGTGGCCACAGGTTGGCCTCATGGCCACTGTAATGTCTCATCTGGCCCTCCCTGTAAGCTGTTCTGGGGAACAGAAACAAAGAGTCACCTTGTGACCAGTTAATGTCTAATGGACGAAAGGCTGGTGTAAATAATATTTTGATTCAATAGATAATTCAATATAGCTTTATTTCAGATGATTATACCCAAGAATACTGAACTTCCAGAGCTGGGGTTAAAGCAGCTAAATGAAGCATCCTTCTCCCCAGGGAGTTGCTTATACTGTGTCCTAGGTTTGTGCGTGACATCTGGGTGTGTCACCCCTTCCACCTGAGAGCCATGCCGAGGGGTTGGTGGTTAGTGTTGCTCTTCAGGTGGAGGAGATGGGACAACCTCTGGAAGAGACCCAGCTATCTGGGACTCAGAGCTGGGAGACAATGTTGGTGGCCAAGCTGCAGGTAAGGCCTGTCCCATCCTCTTCCACATTTAAGGCCTTCACCACGGCATCCTCCACCACCATGGAGAACCTGCAGGGAGGGAGACAGAGGTGGGATGAGTGTCACATCTTTGGGCTGAGCCGACAGTTTTCACAACGCAAATTCCTGACAGAGATGAACTCTATTTAGCAGCCACGCTGGCTGCTAGGGCTACTGCTTTTCAACCAAGCGTCACAACGAATTTATTTCTGACTGATGAAGACTTCTGCATAAGCCAAAGGCTTGCTGTGTTTTTGAATACCAGTTGGTCCAGCAAGAGACACTATCGTCTGAGGAAACAAGGCCTTGCACACAAAGAATCCCAGAGACAGCAGGAAGGGTGTGTGGAAGTTTATTGGGTTCTAGGACAGGGGTCCCCCACCCTGCTAAGCATGTGGGCACTTTTGGAATTTTGAGAATAGGTGCCACCAGGGCTATTTTTGGGCAGGAACGCACAGGAACGAAGTTCTGGCTGGCTTCAGAGTTGGCCACGCCCACTACAGCCAAAACCTCTGCGTGCCTGGCTACAGAGGGAAAGCCTGGAGAGCAAACCCCCCCCGGCGACTCCGAGGTGGGCAGGCCAGGGGGGGCCCTGGAAGGATCAGGGGGCCCTGTGCCTTCCCCGGCCTGTCCAAGGGCTGGCTTGCCCAAGCTCCCTGCAGCCGCAGGGCACTCAGGCAAGTCAAGGGAAGGCATGGGGTGTGGGCTAATATGCTAATGAGCGGTGCTGTCAGGGGTGTGGCCTAATATGCTAGTGAGTTTCTGCTGTTGGGTATGGCCTATTATGCTAATGAGTTCCTGCTGGGCTTTTTCTCCAAAAAAAGCCCTGGGTGCCACCATCACAAAATGGCCACCGTGGGAGATGGGGCTGGTCACAAAATGCAGGGAGGTTCCAAGCCAAGTCTGGTCTGCTGATTGAGGTGGCTGTTTCCAGATGGGTGCTCCTGTTCAGTCTCCTAAACTATTACCACATAATTCCATTTTTGAGAAATAATTGTGAAGTTATTAAGAAATAAGGACTTTTTTTCACATTGCACAAGGCATCAGTCAGCTGTAGGTGACGCCTCCTGAGCTCTCCTGAAGAAGTTCCTGCTCCAGTGAGGCACAGGAAAGATTAGGAATGGCTTGATACTTTGGGTAAGAAGGACTTGGGCACCAGGAAAGATGGTGGCAGGCACCCCAGTGCCCAACGAGGCCGGGAATCACCAGTATGGGAGGCAAACGATTACCCCCCCCTTCCCAAGACAGGCAATTCTGCTTACCGTTTGGATCGGTTAGTCCCAAAGAGCTCCCGAAGCGGTTCTTTATCCAGCAACAGGTTTGTGGCCTATAAAGAGAGATTTGAGAGGGATCTTAAGAATATGGAGACGGGGGAGCAGATTTTAGTTCACTTGCTCTTAAGCATTTGTATCGCATTTTCAAATGTTCAAAGCACTTCCCACAAATAAAGTTCTTCCAATATTTACGACAATCCTGTAAAGCAGGTCAATATTATTTTCCCAAAACTTCAGGTGTGGGTGGTGAGATCAAGGCCACAACTGCCACAGGCTGCCTAGCGAGTTCATGGCTACCCAATGAAGTATGGACAAAATGAAGTACTTGTTTTACCTAATGGGTAATTAAGGCCCCGGTCACACGGAGCATTAGGCACGCTACAGAGACGGAAGATAGGCAGATTTTCCGGGCGCGATCTCACCGCCACATCTGGGAAGTGTAGAGCTCCAATCCTGTAAAGCAGGTCAATATTATTTTCCCAAAACTTCAGGTGTGGGTGGTGAGATCAAGGCCACAACTGCCACAGGCTGCCTAGCGAGTTCATGGCTACCCAATGAAGTATGGACAAAATGAAGTACTTGTTTTACCTAATGGGTAATTAAATTGTGGAATTCACTGCCAGAAAATGTAGAGATGTATAGATGTATAGATGTCTTTAAAAAGGGAACAGACAGAGGAGAGGTCTATCAATGGCTACTAGCCCTGATGATGAAAGGAACCTCCATATTCAGGGGCGGTCATTTTCTGAATACTAGTGCTCAAGAGGCAACATCCAGGTTAGGCCTTGGCTTCTATGTTCTGTTTGTTTTGCCCTCTAGGGCAACTACTTGGCCACTGGTTAAAACAGGACTTTGGACTAAATGGACCACTGGTCTGATCCAGCACAGCTCTTCTTATGTTCATGGTAGGCTCGTGACTCAGTAGCAGGGCATCTTCTTGGCGTGCAAAAGGACCCAAGTTCTATTTCCACCATCTCCAGTTAAAGGGATCAGATTTCAGGTAATGTGAAAGGCCTTTCTCTGCCTGAGACCTTTGAGAGCCACTGCTAGACAATACTGACCTTGATGGTCTGATTCAGTATAAGGCAGCGTCATATGTATGTATGGCTATCTTCCTGTCACGTTACAAAATAAAGTTAGGCAGTGGGGCCCTTGGATGACCAAGGGGTAAAAGGAGTACTGAAGGATGATAGGGAAATGGCTGAGAAGCTAAATGCATTTTTTGCCTCTGTCTTCAGTGTGGAAGATGAGAAGTGCTTGCCCAACTCCAGAACCGCTGATTTCAGGAGGGGTGTTGAAAGACCTGAGTCGGATTGAGGTGACGAGAGAGGAGGTCCTAAAACTGATAGACAACTTAAAAACTGATAAATCACCAGGCCCAGATGGCATACATCCGAGAGTTCTGAAAGAACTCAAATGTGAACTTGTAGATCTCCTGACAAAGATATGTAATCTTTCCTTAAAATCTGCCTCCATTCCTGAGGATTGGAAGGTAGCAAATGTCACTCCCATCTTTAAAAAGGGTTCCAGAGGAGATCCAGGAAATTACAGGCCAGTCAGTCTGACGTCGATACCGGGTAAATTGGTGGAAACCATTATTAAGGAAAGAATTAGTAGGCACATAGATGAACAAAACCTATTGAGGCAGACTCAGCACGGTTTCTGTAAGGGAAGATCTTGTCTCACTAACCTGTTAGTGTTCTTTGAGGGGGTGAACAAACATGTGGACAAGGGGGATCCAATAGATATTATTTACCTTGACTTCCAGAAAGCTTTTGATAAAGTTCCTCATCAAAGGCTCCTAAGTAAGCTCAAAAATCATGGGATAGAAGGACAAGTCCTTTTATGGATCAAAAACTGGCTAGTTCATAGAAAACAGAGAGTGAGTGTAGGTGGGCAATTTTCTCAGTGGAGGGTGGTAAGCAGTGGGGTACCGCAGGGATCAGTACTTGGTCCACTGCTTTTTAACTTGTTCATTAATGATTTGGAGATGGGAGTAAGCAGTGAAGTGGCTAAATTTGCGGATGATACAAAGTTGTTCAGGGTGGTGAAAACCAGTGAGGATTGTGAGGCACTCCAAGGGGATCTGTCAAGGATGGGCGAGTGGGCGTCAACATGGCAAATGGGGTTCAATGTGGCCAAGTGCAAGGTGATGCACATTGGAGCCAAAAATCCTAAATATAAATACACATTGATGGGGTCTGAACTGGCAGAGACTGAGCAAGAGAGAGATCTTGGAGTTGTAGTGGATAACTCACTGAAAATGTCGAGACAGTGTGTGACTGCAATAAAGAAGGCCAATGCTATGCTGGGGATTATTAGGAAGGGTATTGAAAACAGATCAGCCAATATAATAATGCCCCTATATAAATCAATGGTGAGACCTCATTTGGAATACTGTGTGCAGTTCTGGTCACCACACCTTAAAAAGGATATTATAGCTTTGGAAAAAGTGCAGAAAAGGGCAACTCGAATGATAAAAGGGTTGGAACACTTTCCCTATGAGGAAAGGTTAAAGCGCTCAGGGCTCTTTAGCTTGGAGAAAAGACGACTGAGGGGTGACATGATCGAGGTTTATAAGATTATGCATGGGAAAGAGCAGGTAAAGAAAGAGGTACTTTTCTCCCTTTCTCACAATACAAGAACTCGTGGGCACTCCATGAAACTGCAGAGCGGTCGGGTTAGAACGGATAAAAGGAAGTACTTCTTCACCCAAAGAGTGATTAACACATGGAATTCACTGCCACAGGAAGTGGTGGGTGCTACAAGCATGGACAGCTTCAAAAGGGAATTAGATAAGCATATGGAGCAGAGGTCCATCAGTGGCTATTAGCCACAAGGTATAGCTAGGGGCTCTGGGGCAAGTGATGCTCTGTCTTCTTGGTGCTTGGGGGGGGGGTCAACAGTGGGAGGGCTTCTAATGTCCTGGCCCCACTGCTGGACCTCCTGATGGCACTGGTATTTCTGGCCACTGTGTGACACAGAGTCACTGTGTGACACAGTGTTGGACTGGATGGGCCTTTGGCGTGATGCAACATTGACGTCTCTTATGTTCTTATGTTATCCTACTGCCAACATGACCCTAGTTCAAGGTTGCCCCAGGTGAGACAGATGTCCTTATGACCTATGGAACAAACTGCAGTTTGCTATGCATTTTGTGGTGTATTCAGCAGAATCAGCTACCAGAATATTCTCACATTGTTACACCATCTCAGACTGAGGAAGTAGGTTTTTATACCGTTTTTCTCTACCTAAAGGAGTCTCAAAGCAGCTTACAATCGCCTTCCCTTCCTCTCCCTACAACAGGCACCTTGTGAGACAGGTGGGGCTGAGAGAGTTCTGAGAGAACTGTGACTGACCCAAGGTCAGTGTGGAGGAGACGGGAATCAAACCCAGCTCTCAGATTAGAGGCCACCACTCCTAACTACGACATCATGCTGGCTCTCATTTGCTTTCACAGGAGGACAAGTCCACCTACTGTCATTTGCTGTGATGGCTAAATTAAACCTCTATGTACCTATAAACACCAGTTGCTTGGGGGGGGGGGTAACTGCAAGGAAAGCCTACTACTTTCATGCTTGACTTACCCAGAACCACAGAGTTCAGCCATTGTTAGCAAAAGGACATTGTCGCTAGAGATTTCCTTACCTTTCCAAATGCCCCTGTAGGATCTGCCAACATCCGCACCTGAGGAGAGAAAGTGAAAACCAGTTAAAAGGTTGCTTAATCATTACACTGAGGATTTATGCATCACTGTTCAAAGCACAGCCCACAGGTTATCTTGTCGCAGTTCTTTCATCAGTCCTGTAAACTAGGTGAAGATTATAATCCCTACATAAACAGACAAATGGGGGGGGGGGGGGAGAGAAGAGTTGGTTTTTATACCAGAAACAAATCTGAAATAAAAGCTTTTTTGTCTGAAATGCACATTAGTTCTAATATAATGGAAATAAATGACATTTT